CCCCGTCCTCCACCACCCCAGCCCCAGCGCCTCCTTTGGACGGGTAGCTGGTGTCGTTTATGGCGTAGGGCAACAACCGGGGGAGGGGATTCGACCCCCCACCCCCTCCACCCCTCGCCTCGACCCTCCCCTCTCGACTCCGACGGCGACGCCACGATTTGAGGCAAAACTGTGGGCGTAGAAAGGTCAGCCGGCCCTCGACGTTGGGTGTTGAACACGCTGCCTGGTGCGGGGCGCGGTGGGGCGGGGCGGGGATGCGACACAATAACAAGGTTTTCGCCGGCTCAGACGTCGTTTGCGCCCTGATGGATCCCGGCCCGCCCGACCCGGATGAGCCGGTCCCGCGCCTCGGCCGGATTGGTTATTAAGCCCTCGCATTAGCTGCAAGCGATGGCGGCGGCGGACCTCGGCGGGGACATCGGGGACGCTGATGACGTTTAAAACACATCAGGCCGCCATTAGGACCCGGCGGATCTGATTGGCGCCGCTGCTGGTGCTGCCGTTGTTACAGGGCCTATTGCGAGGGTGACAAGTCGTTTAGCGTTTCGTCTTAATCTGAATTTTGGCGATCCCCGCCGCCCCCCGGCCCGCCCCGCTTACGCTGTGGTCCGGAGGCTCGTCGCCACCACATCACAAGCGCCCCGCCCTGCGCCGCCCCGCCCTGGCGCCCCACGCCAAACTATTCCCCAGCATCCCCGCGCGCTCCAGCTCGACCCGACCCGGCGCCGCTCATGCATATTGCATTTTGTACCGCGGAAAACACGACCGCCTGCCCTTCGAGTCCGCGAGAGGGTCCCCGCTAGCTGGCCCCCCGTGCCGCGCGCCCACCCCTCTTGTTACGTGGATCTCTGACCTCCCGCTCGGTGCTCTGCGCGTTTTTATTCATTTCTCCCCTCCATCCCTCCCCACTCTGTTTCCGCGGCGCGCGCTGTCCCGCCCACGCGCTGCTGCTGCCTCTGCTGCCGCTGCTGCTGGCGTTGCTGCTGGTGCTGCTGCTGAAGGCCCGGATGAGGGCGATGATGGTCCGCAGTGAGCGAGGAGACGGAGGTGGTGGTGCTGGCGATCAGTAGAGGTGCGGAGTGGAGCGACTCAAGGACGGTTCAAGCTCGGCGTGGTGCCCTCGAATCTGCCTCCAACGCGCTGCTGCCCCTGCTCGCGGAGGCTAGCCCTCCCGCGCCGTGCAAATTTGAATTTTTATGGCCCCCGCTCTTCTGAATGGTCCCCTGCCCCGCCTCGCGCCACACCGGAGAGGTTCGATTCCGCTCTGCTCCGCTCGGGCGCGGCGGCCGAGGGACACTTTTAATAGTTTCGCTCCATCCACCTACATCTCATCTTCCCTCGTTCTCGTTAGATTCTCTCGACTCGCCATCTCAGCACCTGCCCAGGTTATCTCTCTTATTCTCTCTTTTACTTTCTCGATCGCTGGCACAAACTGTCTATCTCTCTCTCTCACTCCATCATTCATTCTCTCTCTTTCTATCTCCCTCTTTCTCCCCCCCCCCCTTTCCCCCTCTATTCCCCTCTTAAGAGTCTGATTTGTTTGAACTCCGGACATCCCTCCGCCCGACACCGCCCTCGTCCCTGCCGCCCGACCCGGCCTCCTGCCTGGACTTGTTTGCTCGCCCGAAATGCATTGCAAATGTCGCGATTGAAATGCCGGTCCAGCGGGGGGCCGTCACCGCGCGCGTGACGGGGACGGTGGTGGTGATGTGACGGCCAGACCTGCGCACCACCGTCACGCGCCCACCCGAGAACCAAACGCGCGTCGATACAGCGGCCCACGTCATACGTCAGTGAATTTTTAACTTTTCGTGTAAATAATACTCGGGGATGTGCAGTAGGCTTGTTATGGATTCCCCATACATGTGGGCCCGTGGGCGGGTGGGGGCGGGCGGGCTCGCTCGTGCATCAGAGCAGCAGGGGCTGGGCTCGGCAGGGCTGCGGGGGCTCCATTGAGGCCAGCCGTGCCCCCCGATATCGTCCAGCCCCGCCCCGCCCCACGCCGTCGCACACATCTGTTTTGTCGTACTGCGGGCGGGGCGGGGTGCGTCGCCGCCTGATGCCTGCCTGCTGATGCCACGCCGTGGTGCGGGGGTGGTTTGGTTTGTGTGATTCCGCCCCTATATGTACTGACGCTGTCGCGTTTCAGGCTCGACTCGACTATTGTCTTTTTCGACGCTGCGACAGGTCTTTAGGGACTGAAAAAAATTGCGGTGCAATGATCCGCCCTGAGCTCCGGTTTAAAAAAGAAAAACACTCTGGCTGGCTCAGCTCACTCTCCCCCGTTCGTCTCCTCCTCTCCCCTTATTCCAGAGGGGCACTCTCAGCGTTACCACGCGCCAAAGACGGATTCATTCACCCCATTTGCCCCTCCATTCAGCGCCCCCTCTCCCGCGCCTCCCTAGCGACCGCTGGTTGTCGGGTCGCCTCACCCCTCACCCCAGCGCCGCCGCCCGCCCCGCCCCGCCTCGCGCCTCCCCCGGGCTTCAGCCTGCTGTGTAGGCCAGCCTGCTGCGCGCGCGCCGCCGGGTTGCCTACCCGGCATTCCACAGGCGTCAGCCAGACCCGCTGATGGCAGTGCGCTTTCTGGATGAGAGAGGGGATTTTTAGACATTTCCCTAAAGACTGGCTCTACCAGAAGGCAAAGTCTCGTTTTTCTTCGTGTGCGTCACTCGGCGTTGGGGAGGTCGGTTATATGCGACTTGAGTGCGTGCATCTCTGCTTGTGGCCGCCAAGCCCAGCCCGCGGCGCTAGACGAGCTACGCGAGACCCTCTCCTCTGTCAAAGGTGGAGGGCGTAGCGGGCGCTCGGTGCGTGGCTCTGGACCCTGTACCCGAGACGTCTGCTACCAGCCACACCCCCGCCGCAACCCCGCTGTACCGCCAAGCTCTCGCGACTCGCCCCGATCGCCGTGTGTGGCGCTGCGCTGAGCGCGTTGCGGTGGGGGGTGCGGCAGCGGCCCTGGAGGAGTAAAGTGCGCTGGTGTCGGGTCTGGAGGGCGCGGTGCGGGGGCGCTGGCGCTCTCAGACCGCTGGACCGATTTTACCCGTTGCCGTGAATGGTATGCCCTCTCTCTTCCACCACCCTGCCACGCCACGCCTCGCCCCGGCCCACAGCGGCGCCACGTCATGCCCCTCTAGTAAAGCATGACGCTAATCCTCTTCGGCGGACCGTGGCAGCGCCATAGGGTGGGCCGGGGGCCGGGCCCCCTCCCTGCGCCCCACACTCCCCTCGCTCCACCTGCCCTGCCCCCCACACAGGGACTCCCGCGGTTATAGTGCGGGGGCCGAACGGGCCTGTCCAGCCTGCCCCGCCCCCGGGTATTCCCCGGTGTCTACTCCCTCGAAGTGAGAGGGGAAGACCAAAAGGAGGAGAAAGAGAGAGGTGGAGTGGACGGCGACACCGCGGGGGTGCACTCATTATACTCTCTCTCTCTCTCTCTCTCTCTCTCTCTCTCTCTCTCTCTCTCTCT